CGCTTAGACGACCCGAGCTCGCCCGAGCTCGCCCGAGATCACCCGAGATTGGCCGAGATTGGCGGCACGGCCCTCGACGGTGGGCTCCGTGAACGGCGCCTGAGCTTGGCGGTGGAGTAGGCGTGCTACTTTGCGCCGGAGAGCGAGAGCTGGGAGCCGCTCCTGGAGGGGAAGGAGAGCCGCCCAACCTACCAGGCAGATGCCGCCGAGATGCCGCCGAGATGCCGGCGAAATCGCGGCGAGATCGCGGCGAGATGCCGGCGAGATGCCGGCGAGAGCGCGGCGAGGGCGCGGCGAGGGCGCGGCGAGGGCGCGGCGAGAGCGGGCGGAGGAGGGCTGAGATTGCGATCGTGCCGATCTTTCTCGCCCGATTTCCCCACAGGCCATCGAGGAGGCGCTGCAGGAGAGCGAGGTGCCGTTCCGTTTCACGACCTACGACCTCGACAACATCGTCTGAGTCGGGTCTCTGGCTGGTCTCTGGTCTCTCTGGTCTCTCTGGTGCCTGGTGCCCACGGGCGCGCGGCAGACACGGCGTTCGGTGGCCGCGGCGGCGCGCCTCGGCGGGTGTCGCGTCGGTGTGGCTTCGCGGTCCCTGCATGGGTCAGTCCGTCTGCAGGACGGTCAGTCCGGATGAGGGTCGTCCGGCGGCGTTCAGTTATTCTTTTCTCTCTGACGGTGGGCGCACCGTTTCGGTCGAGCGTGTGCCAACGTGGAGCTCGGGGCTCGGGCGCCCCCTCTATTCTCGGTGTGCGTTGTCGCGGGTACGTGTGCGGCTGGGGCTGCGGCGTGCAGGGGTCTCGGCTCTCTCGCTTGGGTCGGTTTGGAAAGCGACCCACCCCCCCACAGGCGACAGGCGCGGCAGGGCGCACGGGGCAAATATACATGATACAAAAAGGTTGCCATGAATGAGCGGTGGCACGTGCCAGCGAGACCGAAGCGACTGCGCGCCGTAGTACAATGGTACGGTTGAGTGTGCCGGTTGACGGCTGTCGGTTCGGCCCCGCCCCGGTCCTGTACTGTAGTACAAGTGAGCCGTGCACGACTCGCGTGTGTCGCGAGTACTGACGGCGTCCGGGCCGCTCTGGGTGGCGGGAGGCCACGGCGTGCAGCACTCGCCGCGGCGGCGGCTCTACTTTTTCTTTTTGGCCTGCAGAGGGCGGGAGGGACGGACCGGGCTTGGGGAGGCGCGGCAGCGAGGTCGGCGGCGGCGAGGCTGG